TGACAAAATTCCTGAGGAAGGAAGGTATAAAACAATCCTAGTTTTACGAAAGATTTCGGTCGGAGTATAGTGATAAGGCATCCGTCGTAATAAGGCATATAAAAAATGTTTTCTACCCGGTCGTTCGTGTTCTCACTGCCATTAGTGGGTGGAAGCAGTCGCGGGGCTCCGACACAACAGTACAGGTTATCACTGACAATTGTTGCGTAATTTGTCGCGAAATTGCAAACGTGATTAATCTTTCGTTGGGAACGATATACACAAATAATCCAAGAACGTCCACTGTAACCGAAAGCGATAGCTACATGAGTTCCAAAAACAACTATCCGTCTATTGTCGTCGCAGATGAATCAAAGTCTGCACTGATTTGAAGAGTCGATATGACATGGAACGTCAGTACTTCCTGGATCGCACTGTCAGATCCTGATTATAGTTCTGAATTAGCGCTAAGCGCTTTCCCCCTGTTTAGGCTCTTAAAAAGAATTCCTCGGGTGTCAACAGTTTCACAGTGACGGCGAAGTGAAGCGGGTTGTCTTAAAAGGGTTCAGACGTACTGACAAACTTCGTTATGCGGAAGACTTTCAAGCGTTAGTGAGAAGTTGTGAGGAAATGCTTTAATTTATGATCGCAGTAGCCACGTACGGAAATTTGTTTCTTTTTAAAAGGATGTCTAAAACGTCCCCCTTTGCAAGGAATTAGAATCGTGTGAATAGATTCATCTATCATAGTACTACCAGGAGAGGGTAAAAATTGAGCCTAAGCTGTATCGAGCATCAACAGTTACTTACGCGGCCATTTAATATGTGTCAACGATGGGTTGGTAAGCTTCCAAACAGCATGGGGTGGACAACCGATTCCTCCTTTCCACACATCTTATTGGTACGCACCCCCTATCAGAAGAGTGGTTTCTAACGCTATGCGACGGGCTAATGGGAAACTCAGTGTTTGATTAGATAGTTGCGGCATAGTGGGGTGGATTGATTTTATTGATTGAAAAAGCATGTAGAGGGTTGTCGCGTACCCCCACTGAATTTACCCTACAAATCTGGCAGCTTGGGCATTTACGCAACTACTCTGGGAACTAAGCGGTGATCTCATGTGTATTCGTGTCGGCAAGCCTGTTTGTCGAGTACCGTGTCAAACCGAGGAAGAAAGGGTGCCGGGAAGGTAAACCAATCGACCGCATTCGTGATGCCATCGCAAAGCCAACACTTCGTGTCAGCGCTGAGATGTTAGAATGAAGCGTTTACATTCTTGATACCACGAGAAATTTATTATTATTATTATTATTAATATTGCTGCCAGAGCATCAGGCTCTACAATAAAGAGTGAAAGATCAACATCTTACTTTTCCAAGGGGAGTAGTGGTAATAGCATTAGCAGTCATGGTGTAAGAACCCAAGGTGTGAACGGAGGTTTATTTTGTTGAACATCAAGAACAGCTTGCATCGATTCTGACAAACAAAACACTCAACTCATCTACACGTTCTTTACTGGTGGTTGCGTGGCGTGCACTGCTTCTGTGGCTATTCCTTGTGCGCATGCATCCGCTGCCCTCAAGCCTTCTTCCTCTGTTGAGAAGTCAGTACGGTCCGCTGGTTGTCCGTTGCCGTCTGGTTTTTCTGATGCTTCTACACGGCTAACACTTGACCTTTGGTCCACTATAATGGAACCGCTGTGATGCAAAACGTTTCAATATACTCCACGAACCCGATCAATGCATAAGTTGAATCACAGCGAACCGGTACACTTGGATAGTGAGCGGTACTCAATGGTAGAACAGCGAACTGCAGCAACTTCATTTAATACCACGGTGAGCTAGACGCAATGCATCAACGATACCAGCAAAATAAATGGCAGTGAATCGTATCAAGAATTTTTGCGGTTTATGTTTGAAACAGGGTAGAATTGAGGCTGGCGACTAAGTGGAGCAGCATAGTACCGTTGTTTCCCAACCAGCTAGGAGAGCGAAGACGGGTAGCTACGTTCTCAAGGTCACCGAAATAGATCGTTTATGTTGACAGTAGACTCAAAATAGGAATATAACGTCTGTTACTTCAAACATCACAAGGTCAATGCCCATTCAGGAGGAAAATTTCACAACAGGACAAAACACAAGCAAAGAGATCAACTCATTGGAAAGAAGAGGAGGATAGTAGTTTGCTGTGTAAAGCAAGTACATTTATTTGTAAAGGTAGATACCAGAATGTGAAAATCTATGCACCCCGAAAGTAAAACACGTCCATCCACAAGCAGATTTTGCATGCGACTGGAGTGTCAAACCAAACAGTGGACTCACCACAGTTTCTGAAACGACGAAGTGAGCATTTGCCACACCGAGGACATTGATACAAGACGAACAGAGCCTCCAAGATGGCATTTGCATCCGCCCCATTCAGAAGAGATGACGTGGGAACTCCTGTGCTAGATGCAAGCATTCGACAACGCAGTTCACAGCAAGAAACCCATCGTTGAAAGCAGTTGTGATGTAACAGGCCACCTGAAGTGAAATGAAGATGGTGATGAGTTGCGTGGCAAGGAAACTATGTGAACGGTTCGCTGGTTTATTTAGGTGTGCCGAAGGGATGGCACTTACTTGAGCTGTCTGCCAGAAAACCGGAAGTCTGTCACACGGCAGACAGGCAACTAAGACTTATGGTAGAGGATGTATAGGAGCAGTTTACATTCCTAAGTGCCGCAAGTAATTTGAGATTGTTCAGGAATTCGTGACATCAGGAATACACATAAGCGCACATTCGGTCATGCAGAGAAGGACATAGGGAACACGATCATTACAAACGGGATATGCGCGACCAACCGAAACCCAAGACAGCTGCAACTGAGATTCAGCATGGTAAGTTTAACCAATACCTACCACGCGTCAAGTAAAATATGACTTTTGATGTACTCATGAGTAGGGGATTTCGACGTAGTTAATTGAGGTTCTTTGCAGCCAGCTTCCAAATCAGATAGTCGTTCACATGTCCGGAATAGCACAAGGCTGCAGTTTCAGCCTGTTGCGGTTCAAGCCGCTGGTAGTCTTGGGTTCTAATCCTGATGGATCCGATGGATGCACACTACTGATGATGCCTAACAGGCTGAAAAGATGATTTACTTACAAAACCTGCACAGCAGCTACCAGGGTCAGTAGTTGGTACCACAGGTCCACATGCACCCAAAGTAGCAAGACAAAGTAAGTGAACCAGTCAATCAGTTCACTTGTCACAGAAATGATGTTCGTACAGTTGTTTGGCGATTGCAAAAACAGAGTGGCCTTTACAAACTTCGGTATTTGCCAAGTTGAAAGGAGTTATCGTGCTGCCACACTTATATAAATAAGTAAATAATGAGTCCGCGAATGAAGACGGACCTGAAGTAAAGATCAGATGAGGCAGCGCGATTGAGCATGATCAATGAGTGAACATAAGGCTGGATCGAACGGAAAGAATCCTTGAAATCTAAATTAGCCCGCGTCCTAACGGACCTTACATTGCAGATAACTGAGTAACCTAAACGCTTTCAAAAGGCAGTCCACCGAGCAAGAGACGACAGCAGAGGCGCCACTGGTGCCGACTGCGAGACATGGCCAGTAAAGTCTCAGGCGAAGCACAGAGCAGGTCACGAGGTCTCCGTGGGCGAGACGGATCAGCACCATCCAGTTCAGCAGTCAGCGATTGCCTCACTTGAACCTTCAATTATCCAACACCGAAAATATGAAAACCGAGAAAATGTTGACTAGTTGTCTGCGAGACCCTCTTGGAAAGCCATTACAGCGGAGAAAAACGCATAAAAAACACGGACCAAGGCATCATCAATTTTTAGCATCTAGAAACGGTGTGTGTTTTAAATCGATACGTAGAGCTGAAGGGTGTTGGAAGAGAAGTGTAGTTGTAAGTCGGAAAAAAGGAAAGCTATCGAATGCGACTAACAAGGCAATACGGTGAACAGTCTCTGCACCATGAAGAGAAATGCCTCATCAGAGCAATCTAACTAAGATCGCAGCCAAAGACCAATACGGAACATGCACCACGAGAACAAAGAAGAAAAATAAAGAAGGGAGGATGTGGTAGTAGCTGGCGAGCAAGCAGCTTGCTAGCATCGATAGCCCCAAATCAATGATACCGAGTGGATAATTGATATGAAATGGCGAGAACAGATCTCAAAATGTCACTAGAGGAACGATCGGATGGAATTTGCCAAGCTGTGAGTGGCTCTGGTTAACGCGAGGTATAAAAGCAGCATGTCTTTGTTCGGACAACAAAAGGTTGATCGAGGCCCAGACTTGGTTTTTTTGATTCATCGAAGACCACGACGACAAACGTTGTCTTCGATAAGCAGTGACGGGGCACACGTAACTGTGGTATGAGCATGGTAATGGCAGCTGTTTGTATTCGACTACGCATACGGAACAAACAAGCAAGAAGCCGCTGGATCGACTATTCGCCGCCAGTCGAGCAGCATCGCTTACACGCGTGAACGGGAATCGCTTTGTAAGTCCGCACGACCAACTGCCTCGATGGATGCTAATTCTCCGCCAGAAGCAGCCAATCAAGGAAGATCGAACCGGGATCACTCAACGGAGCGTAGGTTACCCTGTAAACACTACGTTGCATTCTGATCCAAATAGATACTGATCGTAGTCCAGCATTCGTTTTTGATTCTTCGAGGGCGCAACAAGACAGTAGCACATGTCCAAATCAATGTAACTTGTTCCGTAGTGGTTCAACGAAGCGGTTTGACTAGCGACATCCAGTATTCAACTGCGCACCCGCTCGCGATTAGCGATCGTTAAGGATATATAGATATCTGAGATATTCAGAAAGAAGTGTGATAACCCTCTTTATGGTAATGCGTATCCGACCGTTAAACCGAAGGGAAATCCACTTAAAGTGCTAAACGCGTTGCAGATTCAGAAAATCAGTTTGCGCTTTCGCACAATGCGAACTAGCATCAAATCATGCGATTGTTGCTGCTAACACAGCTGTCATGATAAGTGAGTTGATCAACGGGAACTGATTCCTCGTCGCAAGGAGGCGAAGGGGCAACAAATGTATGTGGCAAAGCATCAGCGCTGTTCACTTCGAAGGTGGAAAACACAGTTCGTATGCGCGGAATACACCGGAGAATTTATTCAGGGTTGGTTGTAAAGGAATACAAGGCCTCAGCAGTAGACCGTACCGAACCTTCGCCACCACGCGAGCACCACTCGCGCGCGCTCTGGGTATACCGTTAGTCCGCTTACGCATAGGCGGATTCGAACCGGTGACCTCCAGGTATGCATTCCTTTCGACCACCGGCCAACAGCGTCCCTTCATGATTGACAAAACACAAGCTGATGTCATACGGTCTATAAATCTAGACCCAGAGACACGTGCGTAGATGGTTTGGATCTGTTTAGGTGAACTGTGCACGGATCGATTGTTCGCTTTCACACCAGTTAGCCAATTCCTTCCTATACCCCGAGACTTGCAAGGTAGGTTCAGTGAATTTTGTACCATGCATTAATTGATTGACAATCCTCATGCTGTCCAAACTTGTTTGGCTTGCCGGATTACGCTCCAGGAAGCCTGTGTGTCACATACTGTGAGTGGTCATAAGGCAAAACTTCATGATGGCATCTAGGAAAGGTGTTTTGTGAAATAACCGGATTGCAAATGTGAGGCGCGCAAAATTGCGAAGAGTAGGGATGATCAGATACAGCCCAACCACACATAAGAACTCAAATTTGCCGCATCAACTTCCTGGAGATACACGAGCGGAGCGTTCTTGGAGGTCAAACATCAACATAGCAGATTGGGTGGATAGGAAACAATGAGCAAAGCACACGGATGCATGTTTACTTCAGTTCGCCTTCCACTGCAAGGTCCGGAAGATCTACGTTGTGAGCGTCTGGGAACTTCGTCAGACATAACCCACGTTCGCCACAGTGCTAGCAGCCACGTTGTGCAGCCGCCATCTCTGAATCAGTTATTCCTGTACTATCAAAAGTCCTGAGAATGTGGAGTACTAGAAAGTGCTAGCCAATCAATCCGAAGCTAATATATCCAACAGAATCAATGGAATCGCTGCAAGAGCTTAATTTCTTGAAAACTTTAATTGTTTCATTCTTGAATATTGTAATATCAGTTAAGAAAGCATGAGGAAGACCGAGAAAGGAGCTTAAGAAAGTCTACAATAATCGTTTACCAAGAGTCTACTATGTAAAAGCTATATTAATTATAGCCTCTTTTCTTTCGCATATGAGTAAAATTGCACTGTATTACTCTAGACCAGCCATTTCCAACGGGGGCCATAGGGGGCCGTGCTGTGAAAAGTAAGTTGTGATTAGCAAATAAAAATTCAATTAAAAATGATTTTCTGACAGTCCGCGTACTAATATCTCCTGGGAACTACAGGTTAGTGAAATGAATTAAGGGCGCGCAAGTGTCTGATTGCGATGGTGTGAAGGCCAGGCTGAGCAGACTTTCAGTTGCAGAGCTAGCATAGATCCGCCAAACTTGCGCAGATTCCGCCGGGATCACCTCAAACATACAAACTTCATGCGGTGAGTTTGCCAACTAACAACCGCTTCGTCCTCAGCACTTTGATGCTTATCCACAGTGAATCAACTGAGATTTACTCAGAATACTGACGTAGTGAACCAAGCGAACTGTCGTCAGTACACTGCGGAAATCACGGCACACGAAGCCACACTGACCCAAATTGAGCTACCATCAGGACACAACCAACATTGTGTGACAAATACTGTGTCAGTCAGTCTTCCTCGTTCTGGACTCACTGCGGTAGCGCTAGGTCACACGTCTTTGGTCTCCAGTCTCACCTGGCAGTGTTCCACCAGTATGAATTTCTATCGGTTATAAGGAAGGAGTTGCATAAAATTATTCGTCTGAACAAATATTTAACTGACATTTAGAACGGTGGAACACTACTGTCTCAGCTCGTGTATTTAGAAAAGATTGCTGCGACAGAAAAGGTGGAGGGTGTATTAGGTACCTGCGCAAAACATTTACAACTAAACCTACAGACCACTCACAATTGGAAAATATCCCTGCATCTATCTGGCTGTCAGTTGCGGGTGTCTCATTTAACACACTGCTCGCATGTATCTACAACCCACCGAATGCGTCTAATGTGAGCATCATCAACATCACTTCTGCATTTGACTTCGCATCAGAGTTGCCACACAGCCAGAAGCTTATTGCCGGTGAGTTCAACCTACCGAAAATACGCTGCTCATTCAACCAACGTCTACCTTACATGCCTCTTTACTTTCCTCCATCACAGCAGCGGGCTGGACAGAAGTGGATTATCAGTACAACCAGGTCCGCCAATGTACTGGACTTAATATTCACATTGGGGATACCCAACCCACAGATCGAGATCTTAAACAATCTCCATTGCAGTGACCATAAAATAATCCGACTCAGTTTCCAGATTAAAATGGTCACTAAACTCGCCTCTACACCGCAACTTGCAACCCAGAAGATAAACTGGGAATGC